GCAGGGAGTATTGGGTTCGATCGAAGGATTTAGTGCAGCACCAGCAGCATACAGGACTACCATTTCAGAAGGCCTTTTTTCGATTGCAGATGGAGCTGTGGCAGTTTGAACAATTGTCACAATAACATCATATACAGGTGTCCCATGATGAAAGGTCAGTGTTCTTGGAGGCCATAGTATCTGTCATTCTAAGTAAAAAGAAGTGTATATGTACAAGTGTCCTAGTCCGAACGGTTTCTGAGAGACAGCTACTTCATTCTACAGTTCCAAAATTTTTGACAAGAAAGAAATATTACGTACTGTTTCTAATACCAGTATTTATTGTTGAAGTGACAAAGTTTGTATACTTTTTTTTCCCTTGGCACTACAGCCCCAGTGGGCCTAGGCCTACCTCCATGAACTTCTCCGTTCACTTCGGTTTTTCTAGATCTTACACATTCGGTAGGACTCCTTGGGCGGGTGATCAGCTCGTCGGAAGGCCTCTACCTGTACACAAACACAGAAAAACGCACACACACAAACTAAACATCCATGCCGTGAGTGGGATTCGAACCCACGATCCCGGTTTCCAAGCGAGCGAAGACAGTACATGCCTTAGACCGCTCGGCTACCGTGACCGGCGTTGGTATATTTTACCTAGTATAATATATTTTCGAAAATTCTATCGTCAACATCAATGCACTTTGCAACTCGTGTGAGGACATGGCGTGTTGCCCGTCTGTATAGTGAAATAGCTCTTGTCTGGCAAAACGTTCGGAATAGGACACATGCTTAGAATTTCCGTTGCTATGACCTCCCAGTATACTGACTTCACCTCCTGGGTCACTTTGTATACATACATACACACATACACACACAATAACGGTATGTGCATTTTGTATAAAATAAACTCTCGTTATAACTGGAGAATAAGGGGAGGGCGACAGGGGTCCGTTGCGAAGGGGATACATAGCCACTACACTCAATAAACACATAAACACAATGTGATTACATGACGGATATTATGTTGGCGTTATTTTTTTTTATTTTGAGTAGGTTTGTAACTAGAAAACCTTAGTGCCTCAACATGAAAGAAATATTCACAATTGTACACAGCCAGATTTTTTTTTCTCTCCATGATATAGAAATTCCGTTTTATCCGTGTTCCTTATAACGAGGATTTACTGTATTTGAGACCATCTTTTGACAAAGTTTTTTCTCAATTTCAGGTATCGCTGTAGCAGTTCGAACAACCGCCCGAATGAATTGATGTATGTACTGTGTTGTGTGATTGACATAATGGATTACAGGTTGCGGGAATGTTCCAGAGTGAAGCTTATGTTACAGGCTTCCCCATCCTGTTGCAACAAGATGTTTTATTATCGCTAATGACCACAAATATTGTCTCTGTACTGGGAAATGGACAGACGTTCTCTTCCTGAGTATTTGAAACGCCCTTTTGAACGCTTTCTGGCATTGAGTTCCTCAGTAGTACACGCATGCTTAGATGTAGATTTATTTATTACAGGTGGAGACAGCATTTCCTTGAAGAAGGTACATGTCTGTATGTAAATTTTCTGTTGTGTACAGTATAGACTGAAATATGTTGGATCCCATGTCCACTAGCAACAAATCTGTGACATGTTATTTTGTTAATAAAATTATAACTTCGCTAAGTGGTAACATTCTGCCGGAAGATCACGTCACCGCCGTTTATAAACAGATGGTAAATATATTGACAGTTGTAATGTACGAAGATGTATGTAGTATTTCCTAACAAGTTGTCAGTTTGGTAGAAATGTTGTATGTGGGACAAATTGTTATTGTTTCCTGTATGTTATTTAAAGACTTCCCATATTGAGTACTTCAAGAATGTATTGATGGAATAATTTACAGGTGACACGATGATTTATCGAATTATGTAACTATGTGTGTGTGCGTGCGCGCGCTTCAGTTTATCACCAGTTTATAATTAACGGAAGTCTGTGTTTTTATGTCATTTTTACTGCTATGAATATGCGCGACATGTGGACGAGCGAATGCCTTTCTTGTATATGTTGCAAGGAAAATTTTTGTGGATGGTCTGTAGTTAAAAGTACTTGCTTTGTGCCCCATATTTACCATTAGAATTGTGTTAATCTTTTCTGAACTATTGGATCACAGAAAAGAAAGGTCCTGAAAAGTTAGCTCCATGGCTTATAATCCCCGAGCGACCGCCACTTGTCGGTGAAATTAGTGCCAATTTTGGTGGATAAAGGGTGTCGCGTGGTCAGCGCAACGAATCCCCACGGCCGTTAATCTCGGTTTTCTTGAGCGGAGCCTCTGTTTCCTTGAAATAGCACCTCAGTTATCCTCACGAGGCTGAAGGGAACCCGTTCCATACCCGCTGTTTCACAGAAAATTTGGTAGCGCCGGGAATCGAAGCCGGACCTCTGACCACTAGACCGCAGAGGCGGTCACCTAAAAGTTAACTTGTCTTAAATTAAACACGTGAAGACATTTTGTTTGCACATTTTTGTGGTGCCTTTTATCATATTATGTGTCGCATTACGAGGAGGTCGTAACTGTCTGCATATTTTTGAGGGTAAAATCACGGGAGTTGAAACATTCTCTGCTTGGTGATATAGATCACTAATTCGTTGCTATTCCTACCTCATTGTTATGATAGGAAAGACACTGGTCTCGGATTGAGAAACCAAGACAACTGTACGGAATTTTGGTATGTAAATTTTGTTTAAATACGAGTAAAACCACTTTCTTGGTCTGAGAATGATATTCCGGAAAGACGTCGAGACGATGCCTTCTGGATTCCCCGGGTCGTCGCCTGGTCTCAGGTTAGTGGCATTTGAAAACTGGGGGGCACGCGGTAGCGTAGTTGGTTGAGGCACTATGCTACAAGCCGGAAGGTCGCGGGTTCAAGTCCCGATGAGGGCATTGGATTTTTTTCAATTGACCTAATCCTTCCAGTCGCACTATGGCCCTGGGGTCGACTCAGCCTCTAACAGAAATGAGTACCAGGAATATTCTTAGAGGTAAAGGGCCGCCGGTGCGTAGAGCTGACAACGTTACCGCCATCTATGAGCCGATTGTTAGAAAATGTGGGAGCTTCAACATCTCACATCCCTATGGGCCTCCACGGCCTGTCACAGGGATACCTTTACATTACTTTTTACTTTTATGTTTTATTGGCAGCGGCTTCTTTGGTTGGTTAATTACTCATATAATTAACTGAAGTTGTATACCTGTCTGTGGTCCTACAGTTGTTTTGTTGGGCCTTGGCCACTCTTTTGGTTTCTTAATCCTATGCACAGTCTGTATGACTCCTTGGACGGGGGAGCAGCCTGTCACAAGGTCGCTACCTACATACATAAAAATTCAGAATAAACGCACAAAGACATCCATGCCTTGGGTGGGATTCGAACCCACGATCCCAGCCTTCGAGCGAGCGAAGACAGTTCATGCCCTAAGCCGGGTCCAGACTTGTTGCGTATCCCCGTATCGTATCTCCGTATCGTATCAGTGTGGACGGTACCCCGTATCATCCTTCCGTTGGAAAATGATACGCAACGGGCTGTTCGCTCGCTTGGCGGTCTTTTCCCGTCGCATCAAAGGGACGACTCGGGTTGCAGTGGTGCCTGTCTGGACGTATAGGCGGCTCCATTGCGCTTTGCTTATCAGCTCCAGACAGTTGGAGTGTAGTCATCAAGAGTGTGCGTTCTTCTGTTTGTGATTCTCTGTTTATATACTCTGAATGGAGTGGAGTAAGGAGAGCATCATATATTTAATTGATGACTATAAAAAGAGGGATGTTATTTGGAATCCCGGAAAAACAGAACATTACAATAAAATAAAAAAGCAGGACGCCTGGGAGGAGATAGGAAAGGAACTGAACAGATCAGTTGAGGAATGTAAAAGACTGACGTATGAGTCTCCAGTTGCCAAAAATCTCAGTGTTACTTACAGCCAACCTTTCCTGAAGAGGAATTGCTTTTCTGAACACGGTAACTTCTTTAAAAATTTTCGGCCCGATCAAATTTATCAACAACTCAAAATCTGACGGATGCATCCTTGTGAAATGTTTGTACATCACACTGACTGACTAAAAATTTAAGTCCGCCAAAAGATTGGACCCATTGTATACTTTCCTACTGGCATAGATCGGTGATATCCACAAACGTCGTGATTTTGTTCTTCTTCCCTTTATAGCATAGTGAAGATAGATGTACGAGGCCGGTGCTACCGTCAGGTTGGGTGTAGTCATTGCTTACTGAAATCTGGCTCGAGACAGATTCATTTCTCATTGCCAAGGAGAAATTTTATCGCGTCGCATCAGTTGATACGCAACGGAGATACGCAACAAGTCTGGACGCAAAATTTTGTCGCGTTGCATCGGACGATACGCAACGGAGATACAATACAGGGATACGCAACAAGTCTGGACGCGGCTTTAGACCGGGCGGCCACTGCGACCGGAAGCCAAAGCTGTAAGGAAAGGGCCAAGGGACACTGTAATGTGAGCAGTTGGAGCATGCGGTCGGACTCACATGTAGGTTAGGCACGCAGGCAGACATGCTTGCAAACATGAAAAGGATGGATTTACGGAAGGCAGAAGTTGAAAGGAATTGGTAAAGTTGCCCCTGTGCTTAATTAGTTAGGCACCACGCAATGGAGACTTGAGGGAGAGTGGAGGTATAACTCCACCATTATTGACCTCGGCATTAGATGGAGGTGAGTGACCAGTTTCACTCCCCGGTCGCTTTTATCTCGGTACCCATTGGATAAGAGGCTGAATGGGACCTAGAGCCGGTCCCAATACTGTGGAGTAAAAGAAACTCTGTAAGATTTGAGGCTTTCACGGCGGTGACTATGAAGAAAGNCTCTCTTATCCCTGCCGCAGATCGAACCTTGGCTGACAGACTGAGCTGCCACAGCCTCCAAACTGAAAGGGAGGCAGTTTTGAATAGAACAGTTGAGAGTCAGAGCCCTGATAGCATGTGCATTATTTCTGTTTTTCTTTCCAGCTATGGGCGAGTGCAAAGTGTTAAGTTGCTGCCGCGGCTCAAGGAGGAAGACGGGTCCACTGGGCTTTGTGCTACTGTGGCCTTCATGGATATCAAATCCGCCTCGAAGGCCCACAACATGGAGCATAAGCTGGACGACAGATGCTTGAGCACGGAGTATTACGAGCCTGCAGCCATCCCAGGGGGTTCCGCCGCCCCCATATACGCGCCCCCTCCTCGTTTCCCTCATGGGTGAGTATTGGCCCCACGCCCCGTGTCCTTACCTAGCTCCCAACTTATTGATTGGAAGCTCTACAGGCTCACCATAGCTCACGTCATGTGTTAGGAGGGGGAAGAGAGACGGCTGGATCGGGTATGCCAGTTCATTCATCACTGCATTTAAATTCCGGCCTACTTTCATGGGAACTGTGGTGGTGGTCTTGGGTCCCTCAAATTTACGGGTTTATGCCCCGCAGTGGGGCAGTGGTATAGGCCGATGTCATTGCCTTTCTTTGGTGTCGTGTATAGGGAGATTCGTTTCGGTGGGCTAATCTTGCCCAAGGAGTGCTATTAGAATGTCTGATACAGTACACTGAATCAGGCATAAAATTCTGTTGCCTGTGAGGAAACATCGGTCCCTTCTGACTTCCCGTTGTGGCATGCTAGCAGATTTAAACTTCAGTTTGCTTAATATTTACAAACGCCGATAGATCTACTGAGAAGTTGGCATACGGTAGGCGGGCTTTCTATTTTATGTAATTGCGTAAAATTATAAGTAGAATTAGTAAGTATAGGCCTATTTTTCGTCATAACTTTTCAATTTTATTAATAATTATATTTTTGTTGAAAACATAATATGAAAATGGATTAAATAAAACATGACTCTTATTCTTGTGCCGTTGCAAAATTCTGATACATTTTTAATTTGGGCCATATGAAGACATGAAATGTCTTACTTAGCTTTACATCTTAATTCGAACTATGAAGAAAAAGGTTGATCCCCCCCCTCCTATAAACGGAGGTTACGCAAATCAGGAAGGAAGTACACTTTCTCAAAATTCCTTCATTGGGCAAATCGTATGGCTATTTGTGTTCATGTTATTTCTGAACGAAATATTAGCAATTTTACCTCAAGATACTAGAATTTTGGATTTTGTAAATAACTGGTCCAGGGCAGAAATGCAGCCATTTCAAACGCTGAAGCTTCGAAGGTAATGTGTTTGTTGTAGACAAAGTCTGTATAAACATAAACATATTTCATTTATCAGATCTTTGTTTAAGGAAAAGGGAGAAGCAGATATGCGTACAAGTGAAAAGGGCCCATTGTTATGAGGAATTTTCTAAGGTTGTGTACCAAGCGATTCTGTGTATTACAACTTCCCACTCACCTTTTTTTTTTAAACTGGATCTTTTTTTTTCCCTTTGAACTACAGCCCCAGTGGGCCTAGGGCCTACGTCCATGAACTTCTCCGTTCACTTCGGTTTTTCTAGATCTACATATACAGTAGGACTCCTTGGGTGGGTGATCAGCTCGTCGCAAGACCTCTACCTGTACACAAACATCCATGCCCTGTGTGGGAAAACTAGATCTTTGCCATGCAAATTATCTACAGTAACATGGACCCCTTTTAATCTAAAGCAGTTGTGCATTTGCGTGATATTTCCTGCTAGTCAAAAGGTTTTCTGTGAGTTTTGTTCTGCAACCCGGAGAGATGCCTTGTGCACGTCATTGGGTAATACCGTCGGTGTTGTTACGTATGTTTGTGTCGTGTGTTAGTGCCAGCTGTTTTCTGTTCAAATACGGGACATTGATAGAACGGTGCAAGTGCTAGTAAGCGTGTTAGTGCCACTTGGATTACAGTGCCTGGATTGCAGTGTTCGGATTACTGTGCCGTTTGGATGCTATTGTGTTCATGCGAGTGCTTCGGATGTGACCCCCCAGGAGTGGAATCTGTGACAGTTCATATAATTGGTCAGTGTGATGTAACGGCGATTTTCCGACGAATATCCATTTTTTTTTTTTTGGAAAGGATCCATGAGACCACGCATTGTACAGGTATTGTGACAAGGATTCCATGATCTTTCAACCTAACCAGGTTAGTGGAAAGTTGTATTTTTTTTTAAGTTTATATTTATTTTTCAGCATGAGATGTTTTTTTCTGGTCATTGGCTGTTTCGGGTGTATGGATGAATTGCGTGGGAGTTAAGATGTGTTTATTTAGCGCCCTTTTGCATTCATTGCTGGTCATTGGCTGTTTCGGGTGTATGGATGAATTGCGTGGGAGTTAAGATGTGTTTATTTAGCGCCCTTTTGCATTCATTGCATTCCCGTTTGATTCCTAGGGATCCTATTGGTTTAGAGGAACTTAGGAATTTTAAAATGTAACTTCGAGCCGTTGTTTGTTTAACATGAGATCGATTCGGCTTTTATGTTACGTGTTTACATGTGTGATAAGATAAAAATGCGAGGACACACGCATACATTACAGCAAAGAAATACTGAAGTTCAGTATGTTAATAAGTCTCTGTAGATTTTTATTTTATCGATTAATCGGTGTAGTTGAGCTAGCTGACGTCATTCACGTTCAGGCATGATGAGGCAAATTTGCCTCAAACTCCCGCAAACTTTACATATTGTGTTAATGCTACATCTAAACTTATCTTTTGTTGTTTTAAACATTTCACCTAACGGAGCCCTTGACTTCTACAGTAACATGTTTGTTATTTTTCTGACGATAACGTTTTTAGGCGCGTTCGCAACATGAAAATCGCTTCATTCGTCTGTAAGCATGAAACGACTCGAAAGCCGCCAAACGGATTTTTATGAAACGTGATATTGGTGAGTTGTGCCAAGTTGTTTAATCGAGTTCCAAATTTCATTATAATTCGACAAAAAGACCGCACACTTTACATGAGCCACATATGCGTTTTTGCACGTATCTCGAATATAACTGAATATGTGTATTTGTCAGCGTTCAGTTATACAAAAAAAAACACTCCGTGGTTTTAGTCTGCAAGCGGACTCTTTGACCTGATTATTTTTCTTGTAATGTAATGCTTTGTTAACAGTATGACTTTGAAGCATGTATTAAATAATTTATTTACGTATATATTTCCTTGTGGGGGCACGCGGTAGCGTAGTTGGTTGAGGCACTATGCTACAAGCCAGAAGGTCGCGGGTTCAAATCCCGATGAGGTTATTGCATTTTTTTTCAATTGACCTAATCCTTCCAGCAGCACTATGGCCCTGGGGTCGACTCAGCCTCTAACAGAAATGAGTACCAGGAATATTATTGGGGGTAAAGGGCGGTCGGCGCGTAGGACTGACAACCTTGCCGCCATCTATGAGTCGATTGTATAGAAAATGTAGGAACCTCAGCATCTCACAACCCCATGGGCCTTCACCACCTGTTACAGGGATACCTTTACTTATATTTTTTTTTGTGTGTAATATCTTTGAATAGCGAAGACTTCCTTTTATATATATATATATATATATATAACGTGATCTACTAATGTAGTAGTGTATGAAAAGAATTTCGCTTACGAGAAACCGTTGAGGTCGGGTCCGTAAGCACAGGCTTCATCAGGGGCTGTTACATTTTTAAACCATTGTGTCATCACAACCTGAATCGAGAGAGAAAGATTAGCAGCGACCCTGGTGAAGCAGGGACATATCTAACTGCATTCTGATACATTTTATTGACCATTATCAAAATATATGCGCGTAGTAGCACGTACTGTACAGTTCTGTGTGTGTTGTAATATGTATGTGCTTTTCATGCATTGAAGATTAAACTTGCGCACCGGTGGTTTTGGAAACGTTTCCATCCGTTTTTAAAATGAATTACCTTAGGAATTAGAAAATATCGAATCGCTTGTTAACATTAGGTGCATTCTTTCGTGACTAGAAAACGGCCGTTGAAATCAACGGTAAACTACAAATATTAATACAGGGGTTCTATTTATTGTAGGTTTGTTGGATTCCAGGTAAAGCAATTCTTTGTTACAGTACATACTGAAACAGGTCAGAATAGAATTATATAGAAGAGGCAAAGTTTAGGGGTTTGTTATAGTACAGGTCGATGGTGTTCATGCTTGTTCAGGTCATGACCCTGCTATCCAGCAGCAGCTTACGGCCATTGTGTCACTACTTAAGCCATTTCTTCAGGAAAGAGTATATCTGCAATTGATTCTACACGTTTCATTAGCAGAGCAGTTTCTTACTGAATGTATAAGGGGGTAGGCCTTCTCGGCCCTTGCACCGCGACCTACAGTGGCCTGTTGTACTTGTTTTTTACTGAAAGAGTATGAGGCCATATCAGTGAAGTTATCCCCGTGCTTAAGTAATTAAGCACCACACCATGAAGGCGTATGGGGAAGTGGGTGTATAGATCCACGTACTAGTTTGAGGTGAGTGGTGAGTTTCACACCCCTCCCGCTTTACCCACGGGGAAGGAGCAACAGGTACCCATTGAATAGGAGGCTAAGTGACCCCAGAGCCGGTCTGGACACTGTAGAGAAGAGAAAATGCTTGACCTTGCTGGTGCTCGAACTCCGACCCCTCGGTCGTCCAGCCCGTAGCCAATCGCTATACCGACTACGCTGTCCCGGTTCCTGCATATATAAATCCGTGTTGCCGATCTCAGGAATGTACAGTGTATGCTTTTATACAATCGTGACCCGTTTTTAATTTATTGATGAACGTGGCAGTTGATTTTGAGAGTAAACTATTTTGCATGGGTGGTTTGCAGTCTTTGACCTGCAGTTTCTCGTAATACATACTCGATCACACGTCAGCAGAGTGGCCTCATTGTCTTCTGACGTCACATGTGTGTTGCAGTAAAATAATGTGTTATTGGATCGTTTTTGACAATGAGAAAACCATTGGCATGTTGGATATGAGCTTTTCACATAGGTGGCTGTTAAGCTGGGGCCACACGAGCGCACAAAGTACGTCCGTTGTAACGAACCTACTTTATGACGAACGTTGCTGAGGGATACCTCACAGTTGCAGAATGCAATGGAGCCAGAAGAAAGCGTAGAATTCGCCTCTCTTGTTTGTATCTACAACGGACGCGTTGTGTGCGCTCGTGTGGCCCCAGCCTTAAGAGGGAGGTCTTCTGGACTGTACACACCGTATAAGTTCAGCAAAGTCTTCCTTTGTTCTGGAGGAACGTACAACCTCCATCTTCAGGGTGGAAGAGTAAGCCAGCAGAAGGAGCAGGAACCAATTATTTCATATCAGCATT